CACAAGGGAAAATTACGCAATCAAGAGACTCAGTAAACACAAGATGCATGATGCTGCTGCCAGCCTAACACAGCATACTGTTTTACAGCAAACATTTTTATAAGTAGACATATACCCAAAAATAACAATGAGAGTATAATACAGCCAGGCATGGTGTCACAAACCTGGAATCCCAACACTCTGAGAAGCTGAGGCAAGAGGATCACAAATTGGAGCCCAACCTGGGCAATCTAGTGGCTTAGCAAGACCCTATGTCAAGATTTTTTTCTAAATTTTAAATATTGGGGTATATATCTCAGTATGAAAGCTCTGGATTCAATTCCTAGTACAAAAAAAAAAGTACAATATAGTGAATATATAGACCAGCAACACTGTCATTTATTATCAAGTATTACATACTGTATATGGTATACTGTAAACAACTGGCAGCACAGTGGGTTTATTTACACTAGCATAACCTCAAATGTGTGAGTAATAAGTACAATACAGTATCGTAACAGCTATAACATGACTAGGTACAGAAAAAGTGGTCCACTGTTTTCTGAAATGTCATTACGGGGCTCATACTACAGTGTCTTTACAGATGTTATTGAGTTAAGTAAGACGAGGCCATACTGGAGGAGGGTGATCCCTTAATTCAATAGTTGGTGTTCTATAACAAGGTAATCTGGACACAGAAGCTGAGGAGAACGTAATGGAGGAGAGTAGGTGAAGAGGGAGACAGATTTCAAGTGTTGCTGCCTCAAGCCAAGGGAGACCAGAGATTACCGACAGCTACCAGGGGCTAGGAAGAGGTAAGGAAAAATTCTTCCCTAAAGCCTTCGGAAAGAGCACAGTCCTTCTGATTTCAGACAGCTAACCTCCAGGTTTCTGCCATTTTTTTACTTTTATTGAGTTTATTGGTACATTTTAGGTATACAGTACAATTACGTTCATTATTGGGATCTTGTACCTCTACATGACAGGACTTGGTTCTCATTTTTTCCCCTTATCCCTGCCCTCCCTTCACCCCCTCCTCCCCTCACCATTTACAAACACTTTAATTCCACTTTTTAATTTTCTCACATTTTTTTCTTTTCCTTTATTACCTTCCCCTTCCCCTTCCCACTTTCCCTACACCATTAACCCTTTTCTTCCTATTTCACATGGTCAATTATATCATCAGGATCTCATGTCCTATTATAGCTTTTCACACCAGAGAAACTATTCGGTATTTACACATGTGACTTATTTATTTCATTAGGAGTATATCCTCAGTATGTATCCTTCTGCCCTTTTAAGACACCTAGTTTGTAGTGACTTGTTAGGGCAGCCCTAGGGAAGGGACACACCACGTTGCATGAGTCACATGCCACACCTTATCCTTATCCACTAGGACATGCTGCCTCTATTTGTAGCACTGCAACTGTATCCTTTCCAGTACATTTATTAGACACTACGTATCTCACAGAAGGAGGCAGATGGTGTACCTAGAAGTTGAGGTGGAGAGGGAGGTTGTGTGAAATGGAAAAGCTGTGGGATTATTAACATATACAACAGGCAGGCCTCTTTTCAAGAAAAGATGTCCAATCCTCCATATAGCCTGACCCCGTGATTTAGCAGAGAAGGGGAAATGAGTTTACTGATGAAGGAAATAGGATGCATTAGATAGCAAGAGTTGGAAACCTCAAGACCCAATACAATCTAGCTCTGTGATTGGCACATGGCATTCAGATGTGGTTGCTTTGATCCAGAAAGTTGGTCTTGGGAACATTGAGAACATAATCTAAAAAGCAAAACATTAAACTTTTAGTTATTAAAAAACTCTCTCGGGCCGGGGACTTAGCTCATTGGTTCCTCTCTGCCTGCCTCACAAGCACAAGGTCCCAAGTTTGATCCCCGGTACCAAAAAAACAAAAACCTCTCTTAGTCTTATTCAAGGCCTGTTCCTTATTTTATTACCCATACGTCTCACCCAGAGCATACACTTATCTTTTTAGTGGGCCAATTAGATAAGTAAATAAATATTGAGGAGATTGGAGGTGTGAGAAATGAAATGATGGTCAGAGAGTAGTCAGACGTACAGTAAAGGGCATCAAGGAAGAGATAAGAATCAGAGATTTCTGCCACTAATACGTGGTTAAAAGCCATAAGAGAAGCAAATGTGGCCCTATGTCATTATTTGTGAAATCTTGGTAGTGATCCTGGTGTGTAAAATTCTTTACATTTAGGTGAGTGTTACGGTTTCTATCTAGATGTCCCCCCAAAGCCTCATTGGTGGGCTTCTGGGAGGTGACTTGATCATGGGGTGTGGCACACTTCAGTGGTTTTGTCCACTAATGAGTTTAGAGCTCTATAGCGACGTGATTTGGGAGCTGAAGCCTGGCAGGAGGAGATGGGCCGCTGGGGTCTATTTCCCTCCCTTCTCCCTTCATCCCTCTCTCTGCTTCCTGACCGCCACAAAGAACTCTCCATGCCATTCTGCTTCAGACAAACTGTGAGCCAAAATAAACCTTTTTACCCTTAATTTTCAGGTGTCAGATATTGTGTCTCAGTGATGAAGAAAGTAACTTAAGATAGTGGGTTTGAAACATTTTGTTTTAAAAAGAGCAACAGCAAATCTCAAAATGGTCTGTCAAATCGGCAACTTTCAAATCCCTGGCTTTGATGGATTCTGAACCCTCTCCTTCATCAGCAAAGATGACTAGGTCATGGTGAAACCCTTTGGGCTGGCGTGCAAATAAACCAATAAAGCCCTTATGGACAGAGCCTGTGGAAATAAACAATCAAAGTCATAAAATATTCATTTTCTTGGGCTCTGTACTCCTGTTTCTTGGGCTTTTGTGTAAGGGCAGTGATAATTAGAAAGAAAAAGGGTACAGAATATGTAGGTGAAAAATCCTGTGCAAAGAAGGAAGAAAGTTCTGACAAATATTTTTTATCAATGACAAATTAGAAATAATATAAAGAGGGACCAGGGACTTAGCTGAGTGGTTTCACCGCCTGCTTTGCAAGTTCAAGGTCCTGAGTTCAATCTCCAGTACCAAAAAAGAAAGAAAGAAATAATATAAGGTAAAATGGGGCAAGCTCACCATGCTCCTATTCTGGTGAGGCACCTCATCTCTGCCCGCATGGTGGTGTAACCTCCAGCTCCTCTCTCTGACTCCAACCTCCCTCTGCAGTCCAAGTTCAGCAGTGAGCTTTCAAGATGAAATGTCCCCAAACTCACTGCTACCACCCTGATCTGAACTACCACCTGCCAGAGCCTGGATTATGGCAATAGCTCCCTAACCAGTGCCTGTTGTCCACCTTCCTGCCCCCCAGCACAACAGTGGAAGTGCCCTTTTCGACTCATAAATCGGATCATGTCACTCTGCTCAGAAGCCTCCAGTGGCTACCTATATGACTCAGAGTAAACCCATATGACTCAGAGCCAAGTCAACCCAAGTCACAATGCACACTGGAGTTTGTCTCCTTAGTCACACAGTTCGCTAGCTGTACCCTCCACTCACAGTGCTCCTTCTGCCTGTGTCTACCTGCCCCACTCGTACACTTGCTTAAATGGGAACTCAAATCCCTCTTCTCAGTGAGGTCTTCATTGACCACCATATTTTAAATTTTAACACATTACACAGCCCCGTCCTACTCCTCTGTTTCATTGTATTCTCTTAGCATTTATCTGCTTCTAATGTATTAAATAATTCTCATTTTAAAAATTTCCAATGTCTACCTTTTCTACCCAAACATACATGCACTAGAATATAAATTCCAGGAGGAAAGGGATTTTTATTTTTGTTCTCAATTGTTTTCCCAGCACCTAGAACAATGTCTGGAACATATCTGATACTCAGTAAATAGTTATTAAATAAAGAACAACAGTTAAGTAAATTGGGTTATATCAAGATGATGGATATCAAGATGATGGAGGATTAAGCAATCAGAAAAAAGATTGTATTTGTGCTATGTATCAATATGGGAACAGCACCTGGTATAATGTTATTGTAAAAAGTAAAAGCCCTATGTTGTGATTAAAACTACATAGGTGTGCCTTTGGCAACATTATTCTTTTCTGATTCTTTTGCTTTCCTTTAAATGTTGGGGTTCCCAAGTTGGCCCTGGGTCCTCTTGTCAGTTTAATTTTCCCTTGTAGTTTCTAATACCACCCTATTTATTTCTGGCTTATTTAGCATGTTGTTCAAACAACCATTTTAGACTCAGCCCTGAATCTGGAGTTTATCGTGGCTTTTGTATACACTGCTATTTTTTGTTTGTTTGGTTGTAGACAGGGTCTTGCAGTTTGTAGACCGGGGTGGGCTTGAACAAGTAAGTAGCCCAGGCTGGTTTCAGACTGGCATGATGCTCCTGTCTCGGCCTCCCGATTGCTGGGATTACAGACCTGTGGCAGGATACCAACCAGGCTTCCGATATTGATGAGAATACCCTTCTGGGCATAAATCATCTTTTCATCAGTCTCTGCCAATAAAATGGAGAACTCTTACAACACAAGATGCCTAGATACATTAGTGAGGACTCAATGTTTGAGTAATAAAAGACAATAATGAACAAATAACAAATTGAATAATGTGTCAAACACATCTAAGAACTTTTTGATCCCAGCAGCTCTATAAGGTAGACCTATCTTCATTACAAGATTAATACTGAAGGAAAAATATATTTATAATGACTAGTGAAAGAAAAGCGTACACACTGCCAAAGTGGTGGTATTGTAGGTAATTTATTTTTTCGCTTATAAAATTGTAACACTATAATGATACGATGTGTGCGCATATGTGAACATGTACGTCATCGTGCGTGACAAAATAATTTAAAAACTTGAGCCAGGAATTTAGCTCAGTGGCACCGTGCTTGCCTCGCAAGCCCAAGATCCTGAGTTTGATCCCCGATACAAAAACAAAACAAAACAAAATTTGAATAGGTAAAAACAGCAACAGGAAACTGTAGGGCAGGGTCTAGGGAAGGAGAGGACCCGGAAGGTTCCTACAAGCCGAGAGGCGACTCACCGAAGACAGTAGTCAGCCAACACCTCGAGTGATTGCCCCGAAGAGCTGCGACGGCTCCACCCCCGGAAACGCTTCCTTATCGGAAGGCCATCCCGCTGCTTTATGCAAACTACTTTAGGGGGCGTGGCTTGAGGTGCCGCCCACTGTGGGCGGACCACTCCTGATAAGGCTCCAACTGCGAGGGCGGGGACAGGATCTCCTAGGCTGGCACCGATTGGCTGCCTCAGACATGGGGCGGTCTCTTTAGGTAGACCCACCTCCTCGGGGGCGGTGACTGCGCCTGAGCCTCTCGGAGGGGGAAGTCGCGGCTGAGCGCTGAGCTCTGAGTCGCGAGGCGTAAGTGTTCGTTGCCGTGGACCCCAGAGGCGGAGCCGGAAGCATTACGGCTCTACCCCAGAGCCCTCCGGTTTTCGTGGGGTCTGCCGGCTTCGCCGTGACCTGCCCTACCTCCTCTTCTCCCAGTCACCGGAGGCCAAAGCCCCCAGCCAGGGCGGGGCTGCGCAGCCCCAGCTCCGGCACCCGGAAGAGGCGCCATCTCGCGCCTCCGCCATGGAGCCCACTGCGCAGTCCCTCACCGAGGAGGACCTCACTGAGGTGAAGAAGGACGTGAGTAGCACTTCCTAGCCCAGGCGCCGCGGGGCGGGCGGGGACAGCGGAAACCGGAGTCGGAGACCCTGGAGGAACCGAAGGTCCAGGCACCTGAGGACAGCGGCGAGCCTCGCACGCTTGGTGGACGGGATCCCCAAGTGACCTGTTGATCCACTTGTAAACCACTGAACGCGGGGCTTGGATTTTTAAACCTCGTCCAGCGGAGTATATTCACCGTCACCCTCTTGCCCCTTACTTTCCTTCCCCTCCTGATTCCCCCTTCCGCCCTGCGCTTGGAGCAGCGTTGTGAGGGCACCGGGGTTGAACTTCAACCTTGAGTCTGAAAGCCTGGGCTGCTAGCTCAGTCTGGTGCAAAAGCTGGACCAGATGAAGGATCCGAAGCAGAGGAGCAGATATGTGAAACTCTTGCAAAGGGGGCTGGGGAAAACATAACAGCTGAAAGCAGCCTGGAATTCCCCTAGTAAGCAGACGCCCACGTATTTAAATGGGGAGGGGTGAATACATGCAGTTGAAGATTGATTTACAGGTAAACGCTGGAAGTATTCGGTATCCAAATTAAGCTCTTTCGCATGGATGCTGCTGAACTGAGCAAAGTTTAATTTTTTAAAAAAGAATGTCCTTGTTGAGTTGCAACTGATTTCTTTTTCTTTGGCTCTTAGTTGTTTTCCAGATGAGAGTTAGATGGACACCGCTAAACTGCTTTATATAAATTTAAATTAAAAACAAACTCAACAGTACTTTTACTAAATCATCTTTGTGAACAATTTTTGAGTATTAACCTACCTCAAATCCCTTTCTTTTCCATTCTTTGTAAGGTTTATTACATTTTTCTCATAGTTACAATTGATACATCACACTAGCTGGGAGAAAATGGATATGACTTGGAACTTGTGCCTTAATTTTTCATTCAGCAGAAATGTATGAAGCACTTACTACATAGAAAGTAGTGTCCTTCTGCCTGGAAAGATGTAGAAAATGAGCAGGTCCATGCTTTTCATTGTAGTTAATAAAAACTGGGATATTGGCCAGTCATGGTGGCGCACTCCTGTAATCCCAGCACACTGGAGGCAGAGGCAGGAGGATCGCTGTGAGTTCGAGACCAGCCTGGGCTACATAGTTCCAGGTCAGTCTCAACTAGGTAGTGAGACCCTTTCTCAAAAAGCAAAAAATAATAATAATAATAATAATAATAATAATAGTAACTGGGATATTGTTAACTGCTATAGAATAAATTAGTGTTGTCTTATTCAAGTTACAGGTAAAAATTGTTAACTGATAGAATAAATTAGTGTTGTCTTATTCAAGTTACAGGTAAAACCATGAATTTAAATAGTTAGGCCTACTGTGTCCCAGATTTTATGTCACACAGTTTTCAAATTTCCAACTTTGTCTTTACAACCTCAGGAAGACAATTGTTTGCATTTTACAGCTGTTGAAATAGGACTTAAGAGATTAGGAGCCAGAGGAAATAAGACCTGTATACAAATACACACGCAAAAATGAGCTTCCAGACCTTTATACTTCTTGGTTCATTGATGTTATAACTCTCCATAATTTCAGTTTACACTTGTATTAGAAATTTATAACTTAGGGGCTGGGGATTTAGCTCAGTGGTTCCACTGCCTGCCTCTCAGACTCAAGGACCTGAGTTCAATCCCTGGTACCGCCCCCCCCCCAAAAAAATATATATATATAAGTAACCTGGAGGAAACTATAGATGAGTTTGAGGAGGCCTGTGAGATTACCTTTTTTTTTTTTCTTAGATATTTGTCATATTTTCAAAATGGTTTGCAACCTTGGCAAGTTTAAAAATTGTGCTGGGGGTGTAGCTCAGTGGTAGAACATTTGCCCAGCATGTTTGGGGGTCCTGGTTTCAAGGCTAGTACCATAAAAAGAAGGAGAAAATTTTAAAGTTATCCTCAGTATCCCAGGCATGGTGATACATACCTGGTAATCCAAGCACTTGGGAGGCTGAGGCAGGCAGATCACCTTTAGTATGAGGCCAACCTGGGCTATGCAGTTTAAGGATGCCCTGAACTATGCACCGAGATCCTGTCTTAAAAAATTAAAAAACTGTCCTCCATATATTTGAACTTTTTTCTCTCAACTCTAGGCCCTTATTTCCAAATATGTACTAGGAATCTAGTTTTTATATACTGCAGATCAATTTGTGTTTTCACAAAAACTTTTCACTCATTCTTTCCTTAAGCTGCTCACTCTACCTTCTATATGGTTGTCTTGGTGAATGGTGTTCAGTGGTCCCTTTAAGGATTGCTTTCTGTCAAGGTTTTCCTTTCTGTGGTTTCAGTTACCTTTGGTCGAACGTAGCCTGAACATATTTAATGGAAAATTCTAGAAATTTGTAAGTGTTAAGTTGTGTGTTGTCCTAAATAACATCTCCTTGTTATCCATCCACGTCTCTGTCACCAACGTTATGGATCTGCCATTTGTCAAGTGTATCCATGCTGGATACAGACCTGCCTGTTAGTCACTTACTAGCTGTCTGGTATTACCACGGTATCAGAGTTCAAGCATATAAAGTTTTGTACTGTCCAGGTTTCCAGGCATCTCCTGGAAGTCGTGGTACTTAGTGTGGGAGCAGTGTATCACCACCTCCTTTCCTGGGAACTCCCACTTCACTGTCTCCTTTATCTAGTGTTTGCCTCATCGTTTTGGTTGAATTTAGTTCATGTTAATAAATATGATTTACATGGTACTGTGAAGCTGATAACAGTTTAATAGTTAAAAATTTAGGGCTGGGGATTTAGCTCAGCAATTCGGTGGCCTGCCTTGCCAAGCGCAAGGACCCGAGTTCAATCCCTGGTACCAAAAAAAAAAAAGTTAAAAATTTAAAAAACTAAGACACAGCTCTAATTTTAAAAGAACTCAATTTCTTAGGGGAGGAAGATAAGCATAAAAGTAATTTTAAATCACAAAATAAATGCAATGAATTTTACATTCATCCAAAACATTCTCTACATAACACTTAATAAGCACAGGGTACACAGTATTGAACAAAGCATACATGGCTCTCACCTGCTCCAAACATATAGGTCATGAGAGCTGAAAACAAACATGTATAATTACAGATTATGGTAAGTGCCATAGAGACAAACACGTGCTGAAATGGTAATGGGAAATCTACTTGAGATGAGAAAGTACGGTTTGGTTACAGTTAAACTGATTCCTGAAGAGTAAGACAGAACTGGGCAAAGAGCATTCAGGTAGACTAGAATTTGCTATGGACTGAAATAGGCAAAACTTGGGTGATTTGAAAATATTGGAAGAATGCCAGGGGGTAGCCTAGACGAAGTTAGGGAGGTAGGCTGGAGTTGCTTCATGGAGAGCCTCAGTTTCTCTCCAAGTAAAGTAGGGACTTAACTGGAAAATTAGGTGGTTTTCAAAGATCCCTCTGGCTATTCTATGGGCTGAAGAAAAGAGTGAGGGAAGCAGCGAAGAGGCTCTTAGAATTTATATCGAAGTGTTTGCAGAGTGAGAGCAGCAAAGATGGATGGAGCTGCAGACAGGTTTTTGAAATAAAAGTGATAGGACTTGACAGGAATGGGAGTTGAGGGAGAGTGAATTGGATTAATAAGTAGGAAGGTTGTTTAGGTACACCTGAAGATGGGAAGAAAAAATCTAGCTAGAAATGTGTGAGCTGGCTCTGGTGGTGCCTCCCTGTAATCCCAGCACCTGGGGAAGCTGAAGCAGGATGGTCGCAAGTTCAAGCCTAGCCTGGGCCATGTAACAACCTAGTGAGAGCCTGTCTCCAAAACCAATTTTTCTTTTTCTTTAAAAGGACTGAAGATGTGGCTCAGTGTGAAGATTCTGAGTTCAATCCCTACCATCAAAAAAGAAAAATAAACTGCAGTATGAAATTGAATTATTTTACCTACAAAGTTAAGACTCTTTAAAAAGATGTTTTAAAACATGAACAGTTATAGCTACAGGGGCTAGAAGAAAATCAGGAAAATATGGTATTCATATAAGATAAGAGTGAAGGAATTTGTCAGCTTGTGTCCTTGCTAAGTCAAATAAGATGCAGCTCTCCTATTTGACAATCAGAAGATTGCTGGTGGCTTCAGGAAGAGTAGAGGGAAAGAATGGGGATGAATTGGGCAATGAAGTAAAGTAGAGAGCTGGATATAGAAAGATAAAACCTATTCACTGGGTGCAACAAGGACAGAGAGAGTTGCCCCTGGGCAGTTAGGGTAAGGCTTTTTAAAAGAAATGACCACTAAAAAAAATAAAAATAAAATGACCACTGACCTGAACCTTAAAAAATGAATAGGGGTTTAGATTGAGAAAAGAATGTAAGACAGAGGTAACAGCATAAACAAATGTAGAATGACAGAGAGCAGTTTGAGGTAGAGTAGAGTTGCAGGATAAAGGCAGTGATAAGCTGGAGAGGTGGATAGGAACCATGTTACCAAGAACCTTGTCTACCATAATCAAATAGTCACCTTTTTGAGGCATTTCTGTATATCAGACTGTACCAAGCCTTTATATAAGCCATCTCACTTTTAATTACTAGATGTCCTGTGAGTTAAGTTTTTATCCTTTTATTGATAAGAAACCTGAGGCTTACAGTGGTTAAATAACTTGCCCCAGCTGTCACAGGAGTATGTGACAGAATCAGGCTTGGAAGTGAGATTGAACTAGTTCCAGAGCCACGTTCTGAACTTCTCCACTATTCTGCTGTGGTTGAGGAACTTTATCCTTTACATATTAGTGGAAAACAATTTGAAATTTTTTTTAAAAAAGTAAACATACCCTCAGTAGTAGTAGAATTTATATAACACTTCAGATTTCTATTTTTCTTGAAAAATAGGAAGACCTATTGGGTTGTGTAAAGGAGAAATTTGAGAAAAAAAGGAAGGAAGTAGGAAGTATAGCTAGCTAGGTTTGTGCTGTTAGTCCATGCAGAATTTGACAAGCACCTGATTAGCGAGTACTAACGGTATAGATGAAGTAAAGGGACAATTGTGTGTGAGTGTGTGTGTGCACGTATGTCTCTCTGTCTCCACTTATATGCAGTAGAACAAATAGACCAGGAGCCCTTTGCATACACAATTCAAATCTTTGGAATGTGTAAATGGAGAAAATCTTGATCATAAACATAAACTTGGGGATCATCAGTTACTAGAGTAGTATGACCAAAAATAAGGTTTTTAAAAATATAATCAGTCCATCCCCATAACTTAAAGTCATACAATCAGCAGATCTTATGTAAGACTATTGCAGCAATCTCCTGATTGATCTCATTCAACAACTTCGGCTCCCCCTAGTCCTCAAAATTTTCTTACTGCCTTACACATTTGATGACTTTTCCTTTTAACTACAGGGAAATGCATGTTCCTCAGGGTGTTGTAAAAAGTCTTTCATGATGGTCAGGCTTGGTGACATAGGCCTGTAATCTGAGCACTCCTGAAGTGGGAGGCTTAGGCAGGATTGTCACTGCAAGTTCAAGGCCAGCCTGAACTACATAGGGAGATACTGTCTCAAAAAGGAAAAAGGAAAAAAGGCTGTCATGATGTAACCCCAGTTTTCCCAGCTTCATTCCTGAACACCCTCTCACATGTATCCTGTGTTCCAACTACCCCAGACTTCTCACTGTTTCCCCACTGTACCTTCATGCCTTTGGCTCAGATGAATCTCTGGAAATTTCCTAGGTCCTAGAGATGGAATTAGTTGCTCTCTCTGTGCTTCCCCAGTGCTTGTAACTACAAGTCTTGTAACTGTTGGCTTGCATGTGATGTGTATTCCCCAAATGGACCTAGGAGCCATTTGCATCCACAGTTCAAATCTTTGTATGCTCAGTGCTTAGCATGTGACTTAGTAGGAATTCAGACATGTAAAATATTTGTTGTGTAAGTAAATAAGTGCATGTGAAAATTCAGTGGACTGTGAACTACAGGAAGCCTTCACTTAGATGACTCCTGCCCTCATATACCAGGGTGCTACTAAGATATTCCAGAGTTTATTATTATAGGCAGTCATTGTAAATGAGTCAAATTAGTCTTTATTGTCACCATCCCTAACATATCGATCACCTACTGTGTACCAGGTGTTTTTTACTTTGCATGCATTATTTATTCCTCAAACAATGAGCAAATAGCCACAGAAGAGTTAAAGATTGCACCTAAGATCACATATCTAGTAAATAGAAAAGCTAAAATATAATCATTAAATCACATTATTAATGCCATTTATTAAGACCAGTGTGGACCTGATTTAAACATTATGTAATGTGTGCATTACCTGGTACTTCATTAATCTATCAATTAAAACAAAAATACACAGATAAAAGACCAATGTGGACTTTCTGCTATAAGGCACCCTTAGGCACTTCTCAGGTCTTGACTTACTTTCTGTGGTCTTTTTCTTAGTTTTTTTTTTTTTTTTTTTTTTTTTTTTTTTTTTTCAGCCCTCTCTTATTCCTTTAGATTTCTCTCCCCACATACCCATCCATCTCCCCTTCCCCAAGACTAATTCAGTGGGGTATAGTCTTTCTAAATGACCTCAAAGACAGATAGATCACGTGTCCTTGAATGCTTAATGACAAACATGAAGCAGGCATAAATTGTGAGACTTCACGCAGATTTATCCTTTCTGGTTCTAATTCTGAATTCCGTGGTTTAATTTATAGCTAAAATGTGCATTAGTCTTTCTTGTCTTTACCCGTGCAGGGTCCCTTTTTCAAGGACACAGACTCTCCATTTGCCAGGTTCCCCCTGACAATAGCCTTGTCTTGGTTTTCAGGTGAAAGATGAGAAAACAACAGGGAAGAAACAGGAATGTCTGGGACCTGCCTATGTTTACTTGGATTTTTCATCTTAATTAGCTTGCATTTAAAGGGCTGAGACTCCTGACATCAGAACATTGCCTCATACCAGTTAAGATTCCTAACTAAGAATTAGTCACCTTCATGGTGTTCTTAGGCTTTACAAAATACATTGAAACATATTTTATTTTCTGTCTTTTAGGCTTTAGAAAATTTGCGTGTTTACCTGTGTGAGAAACTCATAGCTGAAAGACATTTTGATCATCTACGTGCAAAAAAAATACTGAGTAGAGAAGACACTGAAGAAATCTCTTGCCGAACATCAAGTAGAAAAAGGGCTGGAAAATTGTTAGACTACTTACAAGAAAACCCCAAAGGACTAGACACCCTCGTTGAATCTATTAGGCGAGAAAAAACACAGAACTTCCTAATACAGAAGATTACAGATGAAGTGCTGAAACTTAGAAATGTAAAACTAGAATATCTGAAAGGTAAGATACTTCAGGTATCAAGGAATTAATTGCTTCTTAAAATTTACAAAAGCATCTGCTGCCTGCCTCGAAAGCACAAGGTCCTGAGTTCAATCCCAGTACCAAAAATCTTACAAAAGCAAAACAAAATCAGAAGTTAGCATTTTGCTTTCAAAAAGTTTAAGCTTCAGAATTATTTTTTATTTACATTTTTTACCATATATAATAGCATTACATTTCAAAAGTGAAATGTTATTCAATATCCTGTGTTGGTATTCACCTAATAATACCATCTATAGACACTTTCCTATAGTGAAATCCAAGTATTTACAAGGGTTCTCTCAATTCCAACTCGGTTTTGCTTCCACCAGTAGTTGAATGGGTACACATGACTTTTAAATACCAGAATCCAACGCAGTCTGGCAAAATGTGAGTGGCACGAGAAGGGAGACTGATTAAGAGAACAGGAAATTTGCCTCTGCCCTTTGGCCCTCACGCCAGAGCACAGACTCGGTGATGGAATGCTGTGTAGAGTCACCAGCGCTATTGAGACCTCCAGCCCCTCACTCTCCATTTCTCTCTGTCTCTCCAGAGCACTCCTAAATTAAGTGTGCACGGATGGCGCTCTACGCCAGCTGGTTTTTTGTTTTGTTGGTACTGGGGATTGAACTTGGGACCTTGCACTCTAGAGGAAGGCAACGGAACCACTGAGCTAAATCCCCAGCCCCAGCTGTTCTTGACAATGGAGACAGAGAAAGAATAATTTGGGCTCTGTCCTTAAGGAACTCGTAGTCTACAAGTCCTTGTTGGGACACATTGGAAGTGTCCCCTCATAAGGCGCACATGAGAAAAAAAATCCATCTTTGGACAGAAATGTTGAATATATTGTAAAACTGAAAAACTAGTAGGAAAAATGATATGTAAACGTACTTTACAGACTTTACAGGTGTTGCCAAAAATTGTCAAGTCAGGAGTTTCTGTGCCTGTAGACAGACTGAATATTTACTAAGTCTAACAGAAAGATAAATTTGTGTTCTTGAGGCTAATTATTGACTATACAATACCATAAAATTATACAATAAAATTATTTGATGGGAATGACCACTGTTGTATAAGTAAACATTGTCTATTTCACTGTAGTTCTCACCTTTCAACAGAGTGGTCCTGGGGCATGAAGCATGACTTACCTGTTCTGTGCCTCTGTTTCCACATCTCTAATAGTAATAGAGACTATGTGAGATGACCACTGAAATCCCTTTGATTTCTAACACTATGTGATTCAAGAATCCTAATTGCCGGGCCGTGGATTTAGCTCAGTGGTTCCACCGCCTCCTTCACAAGCACAAGGACCTAAGTTCAATCCCCATTACCAAAAAAAAAATAAATAAAATAAAATAGAATCCTAATTGCCATGGACTGACTCATAGAATTTCAGCGTATGCCATGCTAAGCAATTGCTGTTCTACTAAACCACACACCCAGCCTTTGATTTATTTTGACATCAAGTCTCACTAAGTTGCCCAGACTAGCCTCAAACTCGGGATCGTCCTGCATCAGCATCCCTGGGATTACAGGTGTGCACCACTGTACCTGTCTTAAGTTTTGTTTTTATCAGTTAATATTGTTTGTGTAAAATGCTAAAGAATATTTATTAATTATAGAAGTGGTTAATCTTATGAAAATTTTTGTAGCATATGTAAAGTATACATTGAATGTGAATTGTAGCATGTCATTTAGCTTTTGTAAATTTTTCTTAACACATGGTAAGAAAAGCAAATGAGATTTGAAATTGATTATGATAGAAGTTATAAACTGGGATATATGTTCTAGTTGTTAGATAACCAGCTTTAAATTATGAGAGTAGATTCCATTTATCGCTTCATTTACCTCAACGCTTTTGTTGTAGGACTAAAATGTAGCAGCTGTGAGCCTTTCCCAGATGGAGCCACAAACAACCTTTCCAGATCAAATTCAAACGAGAGCAATTTCTCTGAAAAACTGCGAGCATCCACAGTCATGTACCACCCAGAAGGAGAGTCCAGTACAGCTCCCTTTTTTTCTCCTGTTTCTTCTCTGAATTTGCCTGTCTTGGAAGTAGGCAGAACTGAGAATACCGTGTTCTCCTCGAGCACACTCCCGAGACCTGGGGATCCTGGGGCTCCTCCTTTGCCACCAGAGTTGCAGTTAGAAGAAGGAGGAACTTGTGGGAACTCGAGTGAGATGTTTCTTCCCTTAAGATCACGTGCTCTTTCACCACAGTGACGTCTGAATTTTTCAATAGTAATGAAATAATTTTAAATGATATGAATCTTTTTATAAAATAACTATATTGATTTACTTACATTTGATATGTCTTTTGTAAAACAGTGTAAGCATATTTTGTAAATAGAATACTTTAGAGTAAAAGAAATGTACTTTTAGGGTAGCTAAATGTGAATCATGTTGGTCATTTTTTTTTTCAGTATTTTTTGTGAGTTTTTCTCTTTTTTTGGTGTTTTAGTACTTTCAAGTGTATTATGTTGTAAGGTTAATTTTAATAGGGGTCATTTCTCTGTTTGGGAATAAACTTTTAGGCTGGAAATAATGTTTCTCAAAGCTTTAGTACTAGACATTTTCAGAGTTTGTCTTTTCCAACCATTTAACAGTAAATTTTCAGCATTAAGCTGTTCCTATTTGGTAATAAAGCCAACCACAAATGGGAAAACTTCTGTATACTGAAAAGAATCTCTTTCCCATTTGATTAGTTTTACTTGTCACTTTCTGATTCTGGGGGAACATATGATAGAGTTTGAGCCCCTTAAGATCCAAAATTCATTCCGTATTAACCTTACTAATTGATACTACTTTCTTTAGATTTTTCAGTCTATATCATTTTAATTCCAAAAGAAAAATATCACAGTGGAAGCAGCCTCAAGTATTATGTGTAATTTGATGAGATTTTTAAAAAGACTTTTGTCTGTACTCTTCATTGTCTTTTAAAGAGTTTTACCATACAGTTGAAATAACTAGATCTGGGGTGTATGTGTGTTAGTTTTGCTTTTTCATACTGTCCTAATCAAGCAGACCATTAGCTAGATTTATCCTTTTGTTGTATAACAAGATTTGATGAATTTTACACATTTTTAAATCTTATCGTCATTGTTCTCTTTTAAATTATAATTCAACCTGTTTCCGAGATCCATCTCCTAACATTACTATTACTAAAAATATTATAACTGGAAATTTTCTATTAATAAAAGTTTTTTAATATAGTGCTATGTTTTAGAGTTTCAAATTTTTCGATTGGAAATACCTAAAACACTTTTTAAAATATATGCCAGTTTTTTATAGAAAACATTACTTCAAAGTGTGAGAAAGCTAGGCATGGTGGCATGTTTATAATCTCAGCATGGTCAGAGGCAGAGGCAGGAGGATCGCAAGTTTGGGCCTAGCCTTGGCAAATTAATAACTTAGTAAGAGCCTGTCTCAAACCAAAAATTTTAAAAAGGGCTGGGGATTAACTCAGTGTGAAGGGCCTTGGTTCAATCCCCAATACTGTAAATAAAAGTTGTATGCCGGGCTTGGTGGCGCACGCCTGTAATCCCAGCACTTGGGAGGCTGAGGCTAGACTGATAAGTTTGTCAATCATGAAAATTGAATTGGCTTTAAAAAGATTTTTAGGAGGCCGAGGATTTAGCTCAGTGGTTCCAGCGCCTGCCTCACAAGCACAAGGACCTGAGTTTGATCCCTGGTACCAAAAAAAAAAAAAAAAAAAAAAAAGCTGAAAAAGATTTTTAAAGAGTAGGTAATATTTGTAGCATCAGCATTTTCAAAAAATTATGGAGAAAGTTTCACCTATATATTATAAGGGTATAGTGGCACAGTGTTTAAAGAAATCACTTTAAAATAAAAATGACTTTCTAAATTTCAAAAAAAAAGAGAAATCACTTTAAAGCAGTAGACTTTTAGAGCCGGGAATTTAGCTCAGTGGTTCTGCTGCCTGCAGCACAAAGATTGGAGTTCAATCCCTGGTACCAAAAAAAAAAATAAATAAA